TAAAAAGTGCACATCCTCCTCTGCTCCTCTCCCTCCCCACTGTGCCCTGAGGAAAGCCTCCTTTTGGCCTGAAGACAATTAGATCCTGTTTCAGTTAAATAACTCAGGTAACTGAGAGAATAGTAAAGGATGCCTAACCTTTACAACCTGGCCACAGTGTAGATCTATCTGTGCTGCTATTTCTGCTGCTTCTATATTTGGCTTGATGTATCTAATCTCTCCTTCCTTCACCTTTCCTTCAAAAGAGATAAATGCCACAGAGATGATACAAATCTGTATGTGGTTCTAGGAAAAGGAAACTGCATTACAGCAGAACATGGGCCTCCGCTTCTGGCTCCCTTGTGGCATGGGGGCTCCTGGATACACACCTTACACCACTAGTCCAATATTAAGGTTAACTGAGTATCTTATCTTGTTCCTGCTACTTCAAAAATCAAGCTTCCAAGTGAATCCCCTTGTGTGCCTTGTAATAAATGTTAATACCACATTAAAAGTAACAAAATGAAGAAACATGCATTTTTAAACAAGGTAAGTCCCTAGGGAGAGACAAAGACCTGAGGTATATAGAAAAGAGAAAACATCGCTTAGAATAAAAGATCAAGATGGATAATATGAAACTTCAATTCACAGGAAAAAAAAATGATGTGTCCTGCAAGTTGAGGGATGAACTGCCAGTAAGAACATTAGAAATCAATATGCTATATAAAAATTAGTCAGTGTAAGACCAATAGCAAAATACAGTAATCATTTTTAGAGATGGGATTGAGAATAAAAACAGAAGTACTTGGATCCAATTGAAAGCTGCTGCACATTTGTCAAGGGAAAAATAGCAAAGACTGTCAAAATATCTTTATAGCCTTTTCTTTTTCCTTCTTTTTGGGAAAGTTTGAATAATAATAATAATAATAAAAAAAAGCCCCCAAACAATCAACCCTTATAAGGGAGCCAGGAGTTGAAGAGTTATATTTGCCTGCAAGCAATATCATTCGCACACATCATTTGGTATTAGTATTTACATCATTATAGTAGGCGTCTATTTATTTGCAGGTTGTCTCAGAATGCTAGTCTGGCTATCAGGGTGTGCTCACTGTGCTTTCCGGGGAGCGAGGAAGAGTGGCTGACAGGTCTGAGTCTTTCAATGCAGAGCCTCTCAAAGCAGGTGCACGTGCGCATGCGTGTGTGCGTGCGTGCGTGAGTGCGTGCTTACGCGCGTGCGTGCGTGCCTGCGTTCACTCCCTGTCTCGCTGTCTGGCTTTCGCGCTGTCTCTTCGACTTCCACTCAACTTGTCCTCACTCAAGGCAAGTATGAAAAAGGGAATTAGCTTCCCGACCCCCTTACTTCATAATACCTCACAGGAAAGTAGTCATTGCTGACTAACATTATGTTTATTTATAAAATAGCAAAGATGAGTAAGAAACCCTACGGCTCCTTACTTTATCCCATAGGGATGTTACAGGGCTGGGGAATCGTATGTCTCTGTTAACAGGAAGCAAAAGAGATCAAAAGGAAGAGAAAGATAAAGGAAAATAATCACTTAATTGTGAAAGAGAAGGATGCATGCTGGAGCGTAAAACACGCATGTGCTTGAGAACACGTGTCTTACCATTCGTAGGTCTTAAGAGGGAACAGTTGTTTTGTTCTGACAAGTGTTCTTGCGCTTCCTGTCCTGGTACCACTTGGCGGTATGGTTTGAGTAGACAAAATGGTGAGACTAGAGCTCAAGAGTAAGTCCTGATTGTACATGGAGTTCAACATGTCTCATCCTGGGTGGGAGAATCTTCTAGGAAGAAATAAATATATCCGGTTTGAGGTCATAACCCACCCCTCCCTATTATTTATGTATGCTGCAGAAGTCATTTGAAGGTAAAAGTAAGGTTTAATATATATATATATATATATGTTTTTTTTTGCCATGTGCAGAAGGATTCACATTTATTGGTTCAAATACAGTACCTAACACTTGCTAAACATGCATTTTACATTAATTGGTCACATTTCCACAGGTAGTCAATTCACAGAACAGGGCCCATCCCTTGCCAGCTGGGATGGGCTGGCAAAGGTGGGAGGTAGCAGAGGGCCTAGGTAGCCTGCAGAGCCCACCAACTATCATTTGGTCACGCAGGGTTGATGGAGCCAGGCTGGCAGGCATCCCTTGGCCGGCCCTTTGGGGGCAAGGGCTCAGAGACATCCCTTTACTCGATTCCTCCACAGGACTGTGGGTGGAGGTGGACCTATGGGAGGTAGCCCAGGGGTAGGCTCATGGATGCATATGCCACCAGAGCCCTTAAAGGTGGTGTTTGTGGGAGATGGTGTTCCCTATGCTTTGGAACATAGGAAGGAAATGGAGGTCTCTTCAAGGGGGTGGCTAGTCCCTGGCTGGGTACTGAGAAGGAATCCCTAGACACAGCCCAGACATTACAGTGCAGCCACAAGCCCCTATTGCAGGCCTGGGATGGCAACTCAGACAAAAACACCAACACCCCAGGGCAGGCGGGGTGGCACTTATATATAAGTGCCATAATTGGCTAATGGATATGAAGGACATAATTTAATCATGTGCAATGGCCTTCCTACTCACTTGGGCAGTTTATTGAAATTTGGGGAGAGAGAGATGAGGAGCAAAAGATAAGAGAAAACCTGAAACTGTAAAGGAGGCGATAAACCTATGCAGAGTGGTATGGTGGAGGCGTTAGGTTTCAAGGGACCCAGTGACTGTATGATATGACAAAGTCAACCCAGGTTTTAAAAAGGAGATATGGGAAATAGACGGATGACATTTCCCTAGAAGAGACATTTTAAGCTTAGGAATTACGTTATAAAAGAGAGATGTTGGGTAGAATATAGGGAAGTTGGAACAGCATTGAGTCCACAGAGAGATGATCATAAAAGCTGGTGAAAGTGTCCCATGTCCACTTTGGACACACAGCTTACTATAAACAAATGATCTTGGGTTTGTGGCCACATTTTATAGCCTAAAGTATAAAAGGATGCTACCTCCAAGTACTTTCTAATAAATAAGCATTTTGCGGCCTTCCTAACTCACACTATGTGCTGTTGTTACAATTAGACTCTAATATGTAGTTCAAGAAATGTGCATGTTTTAAAACTATTTTAGGGTTTTTATTTTATATTCTAAAATTGGCTATGTTTTATGATAATTTTGGTTTTTACACCAACAGATTCACTAACAAAATGGACAAATTAACTTTACACTATGGCACAGTTACAGATTATAATTTAATATCAGACAGCTGTTTTGGCATTATGTATAGATCCAAAGAGAGCAGTAGGAAAGAACACAAATGGCTCTGTACACCAGTCCCTAAATGCTATAAAGGCAGCTCAAAGCACAAGGCCTTTGGTTGATGTGTGTGAATCAGAAGTATCATTACTAAGCATTAGATATAAAATTGAACTTTAAGAATAATGAAAACTCACATTCTTCATTATGGTAACACCTCACTTTTTTGAGAGACCTCTAATTATAACTTCAAATGTTTGGAACACAACCAGTTAACCTGTAGTGAGCAAGAAAAATCATCATCAGAGCTAAAGGATGTTATTAAAATAATTAAGATTCATTTAATTTTGATGCAAGTATAAACTTATATAACTGCTGAAAAGAGAATTTGATTACATATATCTACAACCTTCATTTTTTATAACCTTAGAATTTGATTTTACAATCAGAAATCCAACTTAAAGTTTTGTTTGGACAAAGAAATGTTTTTCATAGAATGATATCCCAAAGGATAGCAACATTATATGGAACAAAAGGAATATAATAAATAAATAAAATATGGCTAAATAAAATATGGCATAGTCACATCATAAAGTTTATGCAGAAATCAAATTCATGTCTTTGAAAATGATCTATTGATCTGAAAAAATATTGCAACTTAAATGCTAAGTGAAAAAAGCAGGATATAAGCTGTTGCATTTTTAAAAAATATATAATATTAATAATGATAATAACACTAATAGTAATAATATTAAAACATATCCAATAGAAAATATGCTAAAATATTGAATTGATTTCTGGTTGCTGAGATTAAGGGTCATGTATTTATTTTGCATATTTAAAACTTTCTACATTTTTTAATGTTTAAAATGATGAACATGTTAATTTTATAGTCAGGAAAAAATTACAAAGATCAAATAAATAACTTTTATAAAATGCAAGCTCATATACTTTATTTTTAAATGATCTCTCACTGCCAGTAGATTTTTATTTTAAACATTTAATGATTGGATTTCAAGCCAACAGCAAATTGGTAGCAGGAGTTTAAAAGGAGGGATAATAGGGAACCACTATAAAGAGACACACTGACAAAAATATGAAGAGTAACTGACAACTTGCTACCCATGGGAGGAACAGGAATATTATAGGAAAATGTGCAAGTCCTCTAAAATCATAGTTTCCTGAGGCCATTTTAAGTAGAAACTAATGAGCTACCGAGCTCAACAGCCTTTTGGATAATCAATGATATGTGGAGGAAGGAGTTCTTTACTAAAAGCTTAAATAACTTGATTTGTCTCTGGTCCTGAAATTTCCTAGCTTGTGATTTTTTTTTATTTCAGCATATTATGGGGGTACAAATGTTAAGGTTACGTGTATTGCCCTTGCCCACCCCCCTCGAGTCAGAGCTTTAAGCATGACCATCAATTTTTAAGAAATTTAAAGACTCAGAATTTTCACCTTCCAAATGGAGACAATCAAGTTTTTTTTTGTAGTTGATATGTTGTCTTTTTTATGATCCACCAAGGGCATGTAAAAGTGCTTTAAAGATAATGACATACTGTATGTCATACTATCTGTGATGCTAGTGGTACACAGTATATTAATTAATGCTAATAATAAATTCAAATCAATAGAAATTTCAAAATCATTTATTTTCTGTGTAGTCTAAGAAAATAGAAATAGATACACTATATTTAGAAATATATACATATATATTTGTAAATAGATTACAATGAATATTTATATTTGGTTCGTCTCAGGTACATCTCCTGTTCTGGGCAATAATGTGGCATGATGGAAAGACTTGGGGTTTGGGACCAGGCAGATTTGGCTCAGGTCCTGAGTTATTTTATCTCATAGGTAAATATCCTTAAGTAGGTTAATTCTCTCCGAATTTTAATGTCCTCATCTGAAATACGCTGAACACACATAAACAGTAGTCATTGCTCAGTATCTAATAGTCACTACATTCTTTTAATGGTTTAAGAGTCAGTTATCTTAAAAAACTTTTCATGTGGAACAGTTTGATCCCAGACAGTTTAGAAAACATGAGGTGTATCTGCATTTCAAAATTATGCAGGATTAACGTGAGGATGTATTACCTGTCATTTCAGGTAATAAAATATGACCTCTGTTACTAGATAATAACCAGATAATGCCCTTACCTGTGACTATGCTGTCCTATAACTGCTCTGGGAAAAACCTTGTAATTAAAGAGATTGAAACTATTGGTTAGATTACATTTTAGAGTATTTGTAACTTTCAATTATTCATTTACAATCAGGTGCCTGTGGGAATATTGATGGCTCTATTAGCAAGGCTTTTAAACCTGCCACATGTCTTCAAGGTGGAGAAGAGAACCAGGAATAGTCAAGTAAAGTCTGAACATTCATATTCATTAAAAATTAAGCACAGGAGCTATCTCATAAACTTAACAGTAGCAGTATTTCCTGTTTGAGATGCAGATTGTCTATAGTATTTACAATATAAAAATATTGCTTAGAACAAGTGTATTCTGGTGGTTTGAATATCTGGGTAAGACATATTTTCTGATGTTATAAATTCAGAACTGGTGGTTTGTTTCCTGAACTAGTAAGAAAGTGAAGTGGACTAAAAAAAAAAAAAATCTGCTTCCATTAAGTTACACAGATGGCTCTCCAGGAAATCTCTTCTTTTCTCCCAACATTGTAGGTATGTAAGTGTCTTACTCTGATGTGTCAATATTTTTTCCCCTTCCTTCCTTCCTTCCCTTCTTCTCCCTCCTTCCCCCCTCCCTCCCTCCCTCCCTCCTCCCTCCCTCCCTCCCTCTCTCTCTCTCTCTCTCTTCTCCTCTCTCTTCTCTCTCTCTCTCTCTCTCCTCTTTCTTTGCTAATTAGTCTGCTTTAGGATTCTAAAGTTGGGAGAGCCTCATTGGAACAAATCTAATGTTCTGTTCTGTTATTGAACTATTGATTTTTGTTCAAAGTCACATTAATTGTAGATATCACAAAATAATCTTCCACAAAGTTAGAATTCTTCATTTTGACCTCAGGGAAATACTGGGTTTAAGGGTATACTCACTTGGCTTAATGATTTCTATTAATAGCTTCCTCATCAGCCACTGCAATCTCTCCAAACTTAATATGTGCCTGTCCCATGGCCATCTCAGTAGACAGACTTTAAGTTGGACCCCAATGACCCCCTCTTTCTGGTATCCATGCCCTTGTGTAATACCCTTCTTTGAGTATGTGCTGAACCTAGTAGCTTGCTTATAACAAATAGAATAATGGCAGACGTGATGGCATGCCACACACAGAATTGGATTATAAAATTTTGTGACCTACATCTTGAGTATTATTCACTCTGGAGAAGGCAGATGCCATGTTGTGAGAATGCTCAGGCTATGGAGAGACCCATGTGACCCAAACATCAATGAAGAAATGAATCCTACCAAAAACTATGTGAGCAATATTAGGAACTATCCTCCAGCCCTAGCTGAGGCTTGAGATGACTACAGTAGCTTAACTGCAGTTTCATGAGATACCTTGAACTAGCCCTGCCCAGCTAAACCATGTCCAGGTTCAGAAAAATTGTGAGATAATAGGTGTTTGTTGTTTTAAGCTGCTAATTTTGGGGGTAGTTTGACATTTGGCCTGCATTATTTCTTTCACAAAAATAATAATAGAACCTACAAAAGGTTGTTGTAAGGATTAAAAAATGATAATGTATATAGACTGATTCTTTGCAAAGCACTTATCAAATTGCATTGTTGATTAAGTTTTAGTCCAATAAAAGGCATGTCTTTCAGAATAAATAAATTGAAAAATAAACTATTCAAATTTTGTTCATGATGAAGTAAAATCTTAAGAGCTATTTAAGTTAGCAGTTCACATACAATAGAACCATATGTGGAAAAAGTTGTTCATGTATGGACAGTATTGCTAAAGATGGTTAATGCTAGTTCTGTACATAGGGATATGTCCCTAAGAAACCGTGGTTATAAAATAACAGGCAATGGCAAGATACTTAAATGAAAAAAAAACCTGAATAATTATATTGGTTAAAGTCAAACTCCAGCTAAAGCAAAGGAAAGGTCAAAGGTAATCCTTAGATATTCTTTCAGCTGGTGCAAAAAAAAAAAAGCAGAAAAGGGTTAACAATAGTTAGCTAGGAAGCTGAGAGAAATCAAACTAGGAGAGAACTTACTGGCTGGGGTCAGAAAATACCCTGAGTGCCATTTAACCTGAAATCAAAGCAGGAACTGGTAAGTCAGGCCCAGCTACTTCTTTGGTAACTAGGAGAAAAAAGATTTAGCTTGGGAGGTGGAGTAGAAGTGATGAAAAGATGACAGGCAGTGGAAATAAAGAAGTACCGTGTTTCCCCGAAAATAAGACCTACCCACAAAATAAGCCCTAGCAGGATTTCTAAGCATTTGTGCAATATAAGCCCTACCCCGAAAATAAGCCCTGGTGATGGGAGTGGCTACGCAGCCTATCTGCACAACCCATGCATTTTGTCTTGGGGAGTGGTGAAGAAGATGATCAGCCCTTCTTATCTGCCCCATCGTGACAGGTACTATCCCAGAGGTGACTGGAAAGTTGCAGGCAGCCCCACCAACAAGGTTGGGGGGGGGCTGTGGGTGCTGCAAGCTGAGGCTTTGAGGGAAAATAACACATCCCCTGAAAATAAGCCCTAGGGTGTCTTCTTGAGGAAAAATAAATATAAGACCCTGTCTTATTTTCGGGGAAACACTGTAGGAGGAAAAGCATTTTCAAGTAGGCCTAGTATCTACTGCACCAGAACTTGCACAGCTGCAGATAAGGGCTGGTTATGTGGTTTGGCTTTGCCTGAAGCAAAGAATGTGCTGGCTTTGTTGAGTACAGGGGCTTAGTTGGGAAGTCTGATAAGCAGCTGAGAGTCAGGAGAGGCCAGCCAGAGCTTGACTGAAAACAGAGATGGTTTTTACTGAAGTTAGTAGGCTGGAGTTGGGTTGGAAAAGGGAAATGAACTGATCAAGAACGTAGAAGAATCAGGAATATGGGTAATGGACTCAAGACCTAGGTTAAAAGAAGAGGTAAAATAACTGAGGCTAAAGGTTAATGCTGCCACAGTTATGATGTCAAAGCACACTAAAAACAGAATTTTAAATGGCACAGCTCAAAGAATGAGGGTCTAATTTCTGTGACTCAGGTGATAAATTTCCTTCTATTCATAAGCTTATTGGATTTGTCTCTGAAGTCATGGTTTAGCTGGGCAGGGCTAGCTCAAGGTCTCTGATGCTTAGCCAGGAAACCTGCCTCTTGGTAGACCCTACTACCTGCTCCCTGATCTCAGTGTGAGATCCCACCTGGAAGTGAGTTGTAGATGTTCTGATGCTAGATACTCAGCGGTGACATGTCATAGAATAAAACATTGATAAAGCCAGGCAAAGCTGAATATTTGCATATGCTATATTTAGATTTACCTGGAGTTATAATTGCCCACCCTACCTCACAGCCTTGTTGTGAGGAACAAATGAGATAATGTTAATAGTCAGTGGTCAAACTAGATAACAAAAATTTATTTAATAGAGGAATCACTTATTGAAGGTCTTCTCATTTCTACTTTGGCTATTTTGAATTGCACACATGATTAAGGCAAGAGGCGGTAGAAGGGATTATGTGATTACCATGGCAGCTGTAAGGTTTAGAATGAGGGTAGGAAGCCAGAAACGTCTACTTTCAAAGATGTAGGATGCTTTCCACTTTGCTGTAGTTCTCCTTTTTTTTACCGACATGGAGATAAGGTCAAGCATTCCTGCTCACTGGTAGAAGAGAGAATAACCATTCATCTAGAAGGTGTTCAGGAATAATAGTTAGCAAAGAATGAGCAGGGAGGGGAGGTAAATATGGAGAGCCTTGGTGGTTGGACACACAAGGTTATGCCATAGTGAGTCAGTAAAACTGGATGTGGTCATCAATCAATATTACCTTTAGATTTGATCTAAAAAAAGACTTAGAACAGGTCAAATCTTTAGGAACTTCTAAATATACCCTTAGAAATACAAAAAAAAAGTAATGTTAAGGAATTTTTGATGATAAAAAAGCTAGAAATTTTTGCTTGTTGGTTTTGCTTTATGAAATAGCATTTCTTTATATTAAACAATGATATATATGCATATATATATACTACCTTGTTCAAAAAGAGACACTATAATATAAATATGTGTGTGAAAATAATTTAGGGTTTCTAATTTTTTTTAATCCAAAACATTTATATATATATATTTAAAAATTCAGATTTTTCTTTCATATTTTGGAAGATAATGCATTCATATGCCAGATATTATGTAACAACACAAAGGCAATCCGGTGCAGACCCTGTGATCAGACATACTTCTGTAGTAAAATTTATGACTCTTGCTATTTAGCTAGATAAACACTGTGGGATTTTATTTGTATAGTAATAAATGTGTATGAAATACAGGGAAAATAAAGACCATGTTCTACTACTTTTTAATTCTATGGAAAACATTTTTTAAAAAATTCAACCTAGTTAGGTTCCACTGCACACCAAATAGCCGTAGGTACCAAAAAGACTCGCATAAGAGTATGTATCATATTACTATATGTATCATGTACATATAGGATATGTACATAGTACATGTCAGCATTACTAGTAGGTTGCATTTGGGCACTTGATAATGGGTCAGACTTATGATTCTTACATGATCAAGTGTCAGTTAAGAACAGGATTTATCATCAAATGAGTTTGGGCACTAGAATTAGGTGAGATAACATTAGTTTCTACAACTTTTCAGATTGAGAACTAAGAGTGAGGAATTACATACTGTAGAATTATGTTTAAAAAAGCATTTT